AATCGATTCTCGAGACACACATACAGTATTTACAGTCAATATTTTATTTTTCGCACTATAAACAACACAATTGAAGGTTTTATTGCTTGAAACAGTAAATTGTTTTATTTTTTTTAAAGATCGCTTTTTTACTTTTATTTAATAAAATTAATCGCGGAAAAATTTTAGGCTGTACTTGGCTTAGAAACAATTTAAAATACTGATTAATAATTTTACTCATTTAATATTTTAAAATAGATAAATTTGAAAAGTATTCTTTGCTCTGAAGTGATTTTAATTTTTGGCAATTAAATGTATTTAATATATCCGCATCTCGAATGCAATTTTCTTTATCTATACGGTGGACTAGAAGACACCTGTGTTATCGGCTGTTGAAATAGTATTTAGCTGACGAAGCTTATGTTGGATAAGCAGAAGTCCAAGTATGTTAAATAATTCTGATAAGTTATGCTAACTGAAACCTGCTACCGTCGATCTGCGTCTGGAATCGATAACAAACTTAATGTAAAGAGTTGAAAAAGTAAGAGTTTTATTTAAGGAGATCTAAGTACCCTCTTAGTGTAAAGAATATCTATAAAAAAATAATACATTTTCAGGAAGTTTTAAAAATTTGACTACTTTGCATGGATCTCCTGAAGTTGCTCTTCAATTTGACTTCAAGACAGTGCAAATTCTTTCTCGTACTCGAATAACTCGAACTTTTTAAAAATTTATTAAAGTGTCAACTTGAGACACATTTTTTTTTTAATTTATGTTCGTCAAAATTTCGGATCTATACGATATAAATTTTTTTCGAGTAAAACTAATCAGATTTTTAAAAATAAATAATTAATGAAAGAATAAACACACAGAAAAAAAGAATTATTTGTCTCAAATAAATCAATTTATTTGAGTCATTTTTTTAAATGTTTCTTTGTGACAATCATATATATTTGATACAAGTAAATACAACAGTTGACTCGAATTATTTTATTATTTGTCAGAAATATATCATTTATTTGTGGTAAAGATGCTAAGTTTATGGTAAACAACGGCATTTTTGAAGGTACCAGTCAAATATTGAATTCTCAACTACTGCGCGCGCATATTCTTCGGACGTCACCCGAACTGACTCTCAAGTGACCGCCATGTTCATTAAAAACGTTTGTTGTTTTTTTTTTTTATAACAGAGCGTATTATTGTATGAATTCTCAATTTTCAATTTTAAATAATTCATAATAATGAGCAATTGTTAAAAGAACAATTGTTAATTAATTGTTTAACTGCCGGTTTAAATGATCATTTAAAAGGATACATAGTAATATTACCTGATAAAAATACAATTGAAAAAATTTTAATTTTCAATATTAATAATTGTCTTCGTCCAATAAAAGTGCACGTTACAGCTGAAGGCAACCATATTATATCTAAAGGTAATTTGAATTTTTAATTGTATTTCTGTTTTAATAAAATAAATTTAAAATTATAAATTTTTTATTCTATAGTAGCACTATAATAACCTAAAAATATGTACAATTAATTTTTAATATTTTAAAATATGCATTATTTGCGTCAACTATCATTTATTTACCACAAATAAATCATATATTGAGAACAAATAAATCACTTATTTGACGCAATTAAATAGCTCAAATATATCGTATATTTCTCACAAATAAATATTTATTTGGCCATATCCAAGTATACGATATCTTTGGCTCAAATAAATTTTTTTTTTTTTTTATAACAGTGCGTATTATTGTATGAATTTTCAATTTTCAATTTTAAATAATTCATAATAGTGATCGAAGCGATGGAACAATTGTTAATTAATTGTTTAACTGATGGTTTAAATGATCATTTAAAAGGATAGATAGTAATATTACCTGATAAAAATACAACTGAACAAATTTTAATTTTCAATATTAATAATTGTCTTGGTCCAATAAAAGTGCATGTTACAGCTGAAGGCAACCATATTATATCTAAAGGTGATTTGAATTTTTAATTGTATTTCTGTTCTAATAAAATAAATTATAAATTTTTTATTCTATAGTAGCGTTATAATAACCTAAAAATATGTACAATTAATTTTTAATATTTTAAAATATGCATTATTTGCGTCAACTATCATTTATTTACCACAAATAAATCATATCTTGACAACAAATAAATCACTTATTTGACGCAATTAAATAGCTTAAATATATCGTATATTTCTCACAAATAAATATTTATTTGGCCATATCCAAGTATACGATATCTTTGACTCAAATAAATCTTATTCAGTTCAAATAATTCTTTTTTTCTGTGCAATCAATTTAAATTAATAGTTAAAAACTTAATAAGCGTCTTAATTAGCGACTTTAGAGCTTAGAGCTTAAGAAGAAGGTTTTGAAAAAATAAAAACGCAAAATCAATAACTTTCTAACAATGATATAATATATTTGTTTTAAAACATATTGTCAATAAAGGGATAGACATTATAACAGATAAACTATATTTTTAAATATAAGATCGTGCGAATATAATCTTTTTAACTTGAATATAAGCAACATTACAATTATACGACCTCGGCAGTTCTAAATATTCTACTTATTTCTTTTCTTAATATAATAATAATAATAATAATTATTATTATTATTTAGTTTTGTTTGCGAGAGCTCTAGCACATTTTATTGCCCAAGCTTTTAAAATTAAGCATCTTTATTTATACAATATGACTCTTAAACGCTGTATATTGACTATCAAAATTAATTTTAACATTCAAGTATTTAAATCATTAACAAATTATCAATAATTAAAATTATTTTATTAAATTCTTTACATTCCGACGAAATCCATCGCTAAAAATTTTATTAAATTAAAAAAAAACATTTAGTGCTGTTGTTAAATGTTTAATACAAGATTCAAGAGTCGAGGAAGCATATTAAAATAAATAAAAATAAATAATAACAACAAAATTGGACTTACACTCTGGATATGTTTCTAATATTTATAATTTATCTTTACTTTGTAATAATCAGGCATCATAATTGATCTTGAATAAAATTGAACTTCATTCTCTTTTATTATATATATTATTGTTATTATTTATTATTTATTATTGAATTATAATTATTTTTTCCGAACATTAATATATATTATGCACCTTCATTAATTAAATATTATTTTAAATAATTTATCTAGTCAATATATTATGTGCAGTCCTTGATAAATCACTCGATTATCATCATCGTTATGTATACAAATATTAATAAATATTAATTAATACGATTATTTATAATTGCTCGAGTGTTTTATTTATGTTTTTATCTGAATAGTTTTGTATTGCATTCGATACAACCAATCATACAACCATTTTCTCCTTTCTTCATTATTATAATTATTGTTATTATTATTTGTTCATTTGATGTCGAGATTTATTTATAATTTATTAATATATTAATGTTAGCTAGTTTGTTTACTTTTTAGTCATTTTAGTCTATTAGTCGACTAGTAAAAAAACAGACTTATAGTCGAGTACTATTAATTAGATTTGGTAATTTTATAATTAATTTATAAATAAGTTAATAAATTTTTTAATGCTAAATAATTATTATAAATTAATCAAAAAAATTTTTAAATTGAAAAATAATCAAAATTTTCAATTTATAATTATTAAAATTCACTTTTTTTTTTTTTAATTGACAGTAAAATTAATAATTAGAGGGTGAAATTTTTTTTGATAATTTTTCAATTTAATTTTACCCGAAATATTTTTTGTTAAAAAATATTCCTTCAAAATTTTTTAGTATAAATAAAAATATTTTTTAAATAATTTCGTCAAATTTTTTTTTTACTTAAAAAAATCAAACATAAATTTATTTTTAAATTTTTTAGAAAAATAAATTAATCAGCGTGAATTTTTTTAATAAAAATTTTTTACTAATTAAAAAAATCTTAAAAGTTCAAAATTTTCTACTCTAAAAAATTAATTTAATTTTTTTTAACACAAAATTTAATTTAATTAGTTTATAATTAACAAAATTTAAATACAAGAGATTTTAATAAAATTTCTTGTTAAAAACAATTAATTTTTTCATTGAATTATTTTACACTAAATTTTTGACCATGGCAACACCTAATTATTATAATTTAATACAATTACCCCATTAAATCACTTGAAATATCTATTTTATCTTTAAAGTTAAACAAAATTCATCAAAAACTCACCTTACATCTCAAATTTCTTTTTTTATTTTAATTTAACCATATTATTATTATTAAACCAAAAGTGCCAGTAAAAAAATATATCAATGCCATGAAAAATTAAATAAAATAAATAATAAATTAATGCTATTAACATTAGGCACTTTCTATAATTTATAATTAATTAAAAAAACGCCAATACAGATTAATCAATTAATTATACAGTACAATATTTATTTAATTACAATTATCATTAATTACTACGAATACTTTAGTTTGTAAAGGCCGCTAGATTAAAATTTAATTATCATAGATGATGATGATTTTTTTCGGCGTTTTATGATTTTATGTTTTATAACATCCAAAATGACTTTATTGCACAAAAATATACGAATTTTGACATTTACGATGAAGTTATAATTTATGATATTTAGTACCGTAGTCGCAAAATATGTTTTTAAGTTAATATTACTAATTTATGTGTTACAGTAATTTTTATTAAGTTGCCACCATGGTCATATTTTTAAATTGCATGTTATTTAATTATTAAAAATTTATTATTTAAAAAGAGAGTTAAAATTAATTAAAATTTATTATATTGAAAAATGTAATAATTAAAATTGAAAAAAAATTTTTTTTACATAGAAATAGCATCCACCCATTTTGTACGAATTTCCTTTTACAATATATTAAAAAATTCTCTCTTAAATATTTTGGACATTACAAGTATCAAATTTTAAATCATAAATATAAAATGCTTAAAATTAAATACCTTATTTATTTAAATTGTATCGCCGCATTTTTTAATTTAATTTATGGCATTTTTTTCTTTATGGTGTTGTTGAGGTCAAAAATGTCGGATCGACTGCCGCAACTTTGGCAGTTAAAAATGCGTGCATGCAAAATAATAAATTTTGCAATTGTGGACATTCTAATTCCTGTAAAAATTTATTATTTTTATATTTTTATTATAAATTATTCGAGCTGAGAAAAAAAACAGTGAGAATAATTTTATTTATTGTAAAAACAGTGAGTAGAGCATGAGATTAATTAAATAATTAGGTCGAGAATGTGATAAGTAAAGTAATAATAAAATATGGATTTACCTTTGTTTCAATAGCAATACTGTCCAGCTCTTGGAAATGTAATTTAAGCCTACTTTTACCGTCATCACTAGAGCCACGTAATTGTGAAAATTTAAATTTCCATATTATTTCACCGCTACACTCGTAAGATAATGAAAATCCTTGTGTCCAATCTAATGTTAAGCCTGCGCTTCTGCCATTATATGTCACTAAAAACGTCTTGGACTGAAAGTATAATTAATTTATTAATTTAACGCTAATATTTATACAAATACTAAAAAATTGCTCTTAAAAATAATTATATTTGTTAATATAAAAAAAAAAAATAAATTAAATAAATAATCTAAAGGCTTGCTACACGAAAAATTTATATTTAAAAAAAAAAAAATTAAGAGAAATTTATATTTTTTTCATAAATTTTATGTAAAAATTATTTTTTTAATTAATAAAAATAAATTTTTTTTTGTGCCCTCCTTAAAACGCCAACCCGTGTAAAAAAAAATCGTCTTAAAATTGTCATTCGTTTAAGATCTTAAACGTGACACAAACTAAGACTATTTTAAGATTTAAGTTTTAAAATAATTTTTATATAGTCTTGAAAAATCTTAAAATAGTCTTAAAGAAATCTGAAAAAAAAAAAATATTAAAAAATTTTTAGGCTATTTTCAGATAACATCACAGTGGCAACTCCGGAAAATTATTATGGAGCGTCTTTAAATTGTCTCAAAATTATCTTAAATTAGTCTTAAAAAAATCTTAACAAAAAATTCAGACTATTTTAAAATGGGTTAACAGCGACAGAGCCCCGGAACATTAAAACAGAACGTCTTAAAAAAGTCTTAAAATTGTCAGATAATAATTTTTTAACAATTTTAAATTCAATTTAAAAACATCTTACTCAAAAAAATTGCGGTTAGAAAGTCGTAAAATCATCTAAAAATTAATTTTCACAACAAATTCGAAAACAAAATTTTCAAAAATCTGCTCTCGGAATTTTCCTTTTGGCGTCTTAAAAGAGTCTTAAAATAGTCTTAGTTTGTATCACGTTTAAGATCTTAAACGAACGACAATTTTAAGACAATATTAAGACGATTTTTTTTTACACACATACGTATGTCATAATAAAATTTTTTTATAGACAACAGTAAGATCATGTATTAAATCTTAAAATAGTCTTAAAAAAATCTCATAATAGTCTTAAAAAAATCATTAAAAAATTTTCAGACTGTGTTTTATGGATTATTATAGGGCGTCTTAAAATAGTCTCAAAATGATCTTAAAAAAGTCATAAAATTGTTCAATAACAATTTAAAATTCAATTTAAAAAGAGCGTACTTAAAAATATTGCGGTTAGAAAGTCGTAAAATCATCTAAAAATTAATTTTCACAACAAATTCGAGAACAAAATTTTCAAAAATCTGCTCTCGGAATTTTTCTTTTGGCGTCTTAAAAGAGTCTTAAAATAGTCTTAATTTGTGTCACGTTTAAGATCTTAAACGAACGACAATTTTAAGACGATTTTTTTTTACACGGGAATATTTGACATATTTTTAAGATAAAACGATTAATTAATTATAAAATTATTTTATTATCGATTAATTAATCATAAATCATTAAAATTTCGAAAGAAATAAATATTTTAATTAAAAAAAAAAAAATTCAAAATAAATTTTGTAAAAATCTACGTGAAAGTATCTTTAGAAATCTTAATAATTTTTTGAATAATTAATAGATGATTATTGTCCTCACAAATATTTTTTTAAGCCAAGAAAATTTTATTCTCAGTTCATAAATTGATTTTCCCTGTACAGTTACTAAATTAGTAAGCTTTCATTTAAAATTGAATTATTTTTTTCAACCCAACATCAATATTACACCTCTTACTTTATTTCTATAATTACCTCCCTAATGTAATTCCAATAAATGAATTTTAATTCATTCGCGAACCAGAAAATTTATTTTAAAATATCCAAGCCATCAGTACATATTAACAATATCTTTTCAACGAGAACTTAATATTTTTCAGCTCATAAATATTTTAGCTGACCTGGTGATAATCTTAGCAGACTCATTTATTATCCCTCAAATGTGAATCAATTTCTATTTATGCTGGAAACTTAATCCGACTCATAGCAGGCGTTGCAAAAAAAAACGTTTTCAATTAAAAATGATATTAATCTGCGGAAGATATTGTCAAATATGTTCGATCAATATGAACGACTAATTAAGGTCTGTTGTAAGCAAACTGCAATTAAATTTGATATTATTTAAGTTGCACGGTAATTATCTGTCAATAAACGATCGAGAGAGAAAGATAATAAACTAAAGTTTCAAGTAAAAAAAAAAATAGTAGGTAATAATTATTTTTATGCGCAAAATTACACCAAACATTTTTTAATATTTAAAATTTAGAATTTTTATATGTTTAATTTTGTAAACTATTTTTTTATAAATTTAATAATAAATAAATAAAATACTATGTTAAACTTATGTGGGGTAAATTAAAAATCATTATCAAAAAAATCCTAAAATTCAGTGATTATTTGCAGACAGTAATTAAATTTCAATTTACTGAATGTCGAGCATTAGATATTGTATTGAGACTCCTTTGATGACGTACTAGGGATAAGAATATTCTATTGTGAATAATGAGATTTTGTCTAGACATAAGAGACATACATCTAATAGATTTTTTCTACCTGACCGATGTATGTAAAGTTTCATTATACTTAAGGATTATTATTACTTAAAATTAGTTTCTCTTATAGTTATATTAGAAAATTTTCTTTCATAGACACACCATAAATAATATTGTAAGAACTTGATATTTTAATGAATCTATTGTGTATAAATGAATTGGCAATTTGAAAATTGGCATGTAAAGTCTTAAATAGTATATCTTAAGTATGTCTTTGTCTATATTTAAAATGAAAAAATTAAACATTTTAGGATTTTTAAAAATATTAAATTAAATAATTTGAGCTCAGAATTTGATGTTAAAAGTTAATTTTGACAAATTATAAATTTTTAATTTTTTAAAGTTTCCGAAATATTTAAAAAATAAAAATTAAAAAGTTTGCAAAATATTAAAATTTTAAATTCTAACTCTAAAAAAATTTTTTGATTTTTGGAAAATCTAGTTTACGATGAAAAAAATTTTTCATCAAATTTTATTCAAATGGAAAGGGCACGATTTCAACTATTGGCTAATTACGCATGGGAGGATCATTAGTAAGGTCATTTAAATAGAAGAAAAAGATAGGTACCTCCTAAAAGTATCCCTTACTCCGAAAAATACCCCTACTCACAGGTACTAAAACGTGTACACCCTCACCTAAAATTTGGCTATAAAAGGTTTGCAATTTTCAGTTCAACATCAGTTGTTAACTTAAGCAACAAGTAAGACGTTCAAAGTTAAGAAGTGAAATCTTTTAATTTTTGTGATTTAACAGAGTGCTAAATAAATAACCTGAAATATGGAATCTCAAAATCTCCGAAGCTTCGTACCGAAGAAAGACTTTATTCAAAAGCGAAACGATAGTGTAGTAAGAATGGTACAAGAAGACTTTGAAGGAAAATGGGTTAATTTGTCTTGCGTGCCAATTTCTATCAACGAGCACACTTGTCTCTTCATGGCAATTATTTTCGGAAATGTGGAAGCTCTGAAAGAATTGTTAAGAGACCCATCAGTGGACATTAATACACGTGAGGAGGAAACGCGTGGATCCGTTCTTCACTGGGCAGTCGAATATAGTTCTTGGGACTGCATCAACTCACTTTTAACCGCAAATCCGGACGTCAACATCCTTGACGCAAACGAGAAAGTCGCTGCAGAATTAAAATCGACTGATCCAAAGGCACTGTTTGTTATACGAAAAATCGAGGATCATTTGGTGAAATTGTGCGCTGCAAAAATTGCGATCCATAGTAGTAACGTGATGGCTATTAATCAGAAAGGATATAAGATCTCTTTTATCTTATGCAGCGACCAAGTCGATAAGATGATGAAGAGAAAAATTTCAACGACAAGTGACATTACCTATTATGATATTTTGATAACGAAAGAGCGGGAGCTAGTTGATGTCATGAGGAAATTCATTGAGGAAAAGGATTGGAAGTTTGAAGGTTTTGAAGACTTTCCGGCGTACGCTGATATCATCAAACTTAAATTGATAAGAGTTTTTGCAAAAATATAAAAACCCTAGATTTTATAGTGGTTATTTTGATAAAATTGTATATTTTAAGGCCGGCGATACATTTAAAAAAAAAAAACTCGATTTTTTTTTTTTTTTTATATATCGTTAGAATATCATCTCAAAAATATGCCTGTAAATTTTCAAAACAAAATTATCATTATTTATATATTAAAAACTCATTTAAGTGCTTCGCCTTAACTCGGCGATTGAGCGCTATTGAAGTCTGTAACTGAGCGCTCGATTCTCGGTACCTGGGCATGGACAGGCCTGAGCGTATTTACCGCTTCAGAGATGAACAGACATGAACAGGTATGGACAGGTCTGATCAGACATGGACAGGCCTGGTCAGGCCTGAGCATATTTAGCACTTCAGACATGAATAGGCATGAACAGACCTGATCAGGCATGATCATGTCTAATTTCAGGCCTGATCATACATGAACAGACATGGTCAGGTTTGATCATTTTTTCCCGGGCGTGTATCAGATTTTAGAAAATAATATTATTGAATGATAATGCCTTTTCTTTTATACATATAAGTAATTAAACTGATTTATAATTTTATAAGAAAATCTGATTATAGATTGATAGAAATAATATTTAATTTAAGTTAATTAGTAAAACTCAAACATTAATCCAACATATTGTAAATAATATATAAATTCATGTTATAGTTTATTATAAATTATACTATAAAAGTTAATATATATAGATTTTAAAAGGGTCTGTTAAATTATTAAAAATAGTTAAATAAACATAACGACTGTATTAGTAAAAGTATATATTAGTGAAGTCCAACTTTCAGGCCGATAGGCTGAAATAAATAATATATAGGATAAAAGACCCCATTAGTGGTGGGGACCCCATTACTGACACTTTCTTTGATTTTGGTACTTATTCAATTAATAAAATCATTAATTTCTATTATGAATATGTTTTTTCCAATCTTTAAGACCTTTAGATCAAAAAAATTTTTAATTTTTATTCCAAGTAGAACATTTTTTCATTGAAAGAAAAAGTGCCGCTAATAGGGGTTAAAGGTGCCACTAATGGGGTCTTTTACCTTAGATATATAACAGAAAATCCACATTGGTATGTACGGATCATTTATATGTAGTAGAAAATATCTGTACTTATGAATTCTTTGGATGTATGTATGCACCCTAGCGGTTTCGGCGACACGGTGAAAGCACGGTTAAGGCCGGCGATACATGTAAAAAAAAAAAATCGATTTTTTTTTTTTTTTTTTTTATTTGTCGTTAGAATATCATCTCAAAAATATGCCTGTAAATTTTCAAAACAAAATTATCATTATTTATATATTAAAAACTCATTTAAGTGCTTCGCCTTAACTCGGCGATTGAGCGCTATTGAAGTCTGTAACTGAGCGCTCGATTCTCGGTACCTGAGTTTCGAATTTACACTCTTGGGGTCTATTGTATGGTTGAACCGGGTCAGCAGATGTTCCGAAAATCTCGGAAAAGGATTTATCTCGGGATGACTTGCTTGAAAGATGTTTAGGTGGTCACACTCAGAATGCAAATGAATGTTATAATTCTACTGTCTGGCGACTCTGTCCAAAACATCTAAACTCTGGACTGAAGATCGTAGAAATTAGTGCTTTTATATCTGCAGGGTTGTTCAATGATGGATTTAACTTTATCTTACGAGTTATGAACTCAATGCAAATAGTTATTGGCCGCCAATGCATGTCGTACAGAGAAAAAATCGATGATCAAAGGGTGAGTCGAGAAAATCGCCGCAGCTCTTTGACGACCAAACAAGCTCGTCAAGCATGTCTACAGGAACTTACAAAGAAAAACGAGTTTTATGAACGTACCGAAGGACTTCTATATGACCCTGGAATCGCTGATTAATCGGTAAGCCACTGTAATCATACTGTTTCTGTGTGTCAAAACTTTAAACGCGTTTTTCTCGAAACGACTTTTTTGAAATTTGCGGGCGGGATAACTCAAAAAGTTCTCAACCGATTCTAATGAAATTTTTTACATGTGTACTTTATAGTAATAGCTTCTAGTTAAACCTCAAAAATTCCAAAAAAATTTTCAAAAATTAACCCTTTTTACCAAAATACCATTGAAAAAAAGGGTAAAAAATCGAACTTTTTTTTCTAAGGTGTGCCAATTTACGATTTTTTGACTTTTTTTGATTTTTTGTGGTTTAACTAGAAGATATATGTTTTATGAACACGTACAAACTAATTTTTTTAATTTCAGATCACCGTACGAGAAGTGAGAACGCCCGCAAACTGATGTCTTTTTCTGAGAGGGTCTTGGCAGATTCATTTTTACGGGGGCCATTTTGAAAAAAAAAAAAATTTTTTTCTGTACTTGAATATGTAATAAATAACCCCACAAAATTTTAAAATGATTCAGTTATTCCTTCCCAGTTTATAAAGTCCTCAAAAAACGGTAAAAATTAAGGCGTTTACATGTATCGCCGGCCTTAAGATATATCTAAAATATATTCAAAATATATATGAAAATCAGCCAAAAGTTAGTTATTAAAAATATATTTAATATAAATCTTTTTTATATATTTATAGATTTTTAATATATTTTTTATGGGAAATTTCAATAAAAAAAAAAAATAATAAGACAAAATGAAAGGATTGAAAAAGCTTTAATACTAAAAATTTATTATTAAAAAAGTTTAAAAAAATAATAATAATAATAATAATAATAGTAATTACTTTGAGATGCGTAACAGCTGAGCAGACAGCAGTGTGCCACGCAGCTTCAACCCTTAATAATTCTTGTCTGGTTTCAACGCTCAAGTACCTCGGCGCTTTTCCAGGACTTTGCGCCAGAAAGCAGTGCTGTCTTTCATCGACATTTTCCGACTCTCGCATTACTCGGAACATTGTTTGGTAAACTTTGAACGTCAGAGCGCACCGAGACCAATCTCCAATATTGCACTGTAATGCATTTCAGGTAAAATTAAATTTTAATTAGCTTTCACTCGTCAAAATTTTTTTTTTCAAAAATTATTTACCGGTGGTGTCTCGAATAGAAGAAGATCTGGACCCTTGAGTGCCAAAAATCTTGGCCTGTAACTCTGCCAAGGTTGATTGCTGTTACTCACGGCTTCATTCACCCATCCCATGTACTCAATTCGTTCACCAACCCCGAAGTTACGATTGTAAAGTTTCATCTATGTGAAAAAATAATTAATATTGAATCATTAATTTTATTTCCGCTACTGGGTAATAGTTTCCTTTACATTTTGTTGTTGCACAGAAAAAAAAAGTGGCAGCAACATGATTTGTCATGTTTCGGCTACATGACAATCATGTTGCGGTATCATGAGAAAAATCATGTGGCAGCAACATGATTTGTCATGTTTCGGCTACATGACAATCATGTTGCGGTATCATGAGAAAAATCATGTGGCAGCAACATGATTTGTCATGTTTCGGCTACATGACAATCATGTTGCGGTAGCATGAGAAAAATCATGTGGCAGCAACATGATTTTCATATAGCCTTAATAGCATAAAATTGTATATAATTTTAATGAACAAAGATATCGTTCACAAATTGTATAATTCGATAGTTTATTCTTATTTTCATCTGCAATATTATAAATCCTAAAAAACCTAGTTACTTTAGAATAAATAATGTTTCTTATAAATATTTAGTTGTTGCAGCTTAATTTTGTGCTTATAAGGCTACATGAAAATCATGTTGCTGTCACATGACTTTTCTCATGTTACCGCAACATGATTGTCATGTAGCCGAAACATGACAAATCATGTAGCTGTAACATGATTTCATCATGTTTATTTACTAAGACTACATCATTTTGCATTTACTATTTATTTTTTTCCGTGTAGTTATCCAAAATTTTAAATTGGGTCAAAAATAAGAACTTGGTAAATATGGCTAAAGCAAAAAACCTAATAGTAAAAGTATGGTCATATAAGTCAATTTTACTAAAACTTTTATTTCAGAAAAAAAATATCAATCGTAAAAATGTAGTATTATCAATGTTAAACGTCTAAATTAATTAATACAAAATTTTATTCTCAAATGTCAATTATAAAAACTCAATTTACTGTTCAGCAAGTGAAAACTTTACACAGAAGAAAAGAATTATTTGAACTGAATAAGATTTATTTGAGCCAAAGATATCGTATACTTGGATATGGCCAAATAAATATATTTATTTGTGAGAAATATACGATATATTTGAGCTATTTAATTGCGTCAAATAAGTGATTTATTTGTTCTCAATATATGATTTATTTGTGGTAAATAAATGATAGTTGACGCAAATAATGCATATTTTAAAATATTAAAAATTAATTGTACATATTTTTAGGTTATTATAGCGCTACTATAGAATAAAAAATTTATAATTTATTTTATTAGAACAGAAATACAATTAAAAATTCAAATTACCTTTAGATATAATATGGTTGCCTTCAGCTGTAACATGTACTTTTATTGGACGAAGACAATTATTAGTATTGAAAATTAAAATTTTTTCAGTTGTGTTTTTATCAGGTAATATTACTATGTATCCTTTTAAATGATCGTTTAAACCGACAGTTAAACAATTAATTAACAATTGTTCCATTGTTTCGATCACTATTATGAATTATTTAAAATTGAGAATTGAGAATTCATACAATTAATACGGACTGTTATAAAAAAAAAACAACAAACGTTTTTAATGAACATGGCGGACACTTGAGAGTCAGTTCGGGTGACGTCCGAAGAATATGCGCGCGCAGTAGTTGAGAATTCAACATTTGACTGGTACCTTCAAAAATGCCGTTGTTTACCATAAACTTAGCATCTTTACCACAAATAAATGATATATTTCTGACAAATAATAAAATAATTCGAGTCAACTGTTATATTTACTTGTATCAAATATATATGGTTGTCACAAAGAAACATTTAAAAAAATGACTCAAATAAATTGATTTATTTGAGACAAATAATTCTTTTTTTCTGTGTGGAGATGAAATTATCGAGTATTATTCGCTCAGTATAATTCAATTAACTTAACGGTAATCTAAAATTTCTCGAATTAAATCTGTGGGGAGGTACAAGCGTGTTTTAACTTTTCACGATTACTTTATTTTCTTTTTTTTCCCAAATAAATTTTAATTTAGTTTGTGTCAGATAATTTTCGAGGTAATTAGCTTAAGAGTAGCGTCGCAAAAGCATGTAAATTTAATTTTTCAGAAAAGTAGATGGAAAACAAGTACTGTTAATAAATAGAGGGAAAAATTAAACAGAAAATCATCTTATCAAAAAGGAATGGAAAAATTTTATACATTAAAAATATATCAAGTTATAGTCTACAATTTCAAAATAATAATTAATAGTGTCAAAATAAATTGTATAAAAAATTTTTTCAAAAAAATGTTCAAAAATTAATTTAATTTTTTTTTAAGACAATAATAAAGTCGCAATTTCAAAATTGAGATTTTATAATTAACAAAAAATTTAATTATTTAATATGAACCTTAATTTAGGAATTATGGCAAAAATATTTGTCGTTAAAAAAAATCATAAAAGAAATTTCTTGTAGAAAATTAAATTTTCAATAACTTTTTTCCAAGACTAATTTTTTCGACCTGATAATCAATCAAATGATAATAGTATTAATATAATCGTCACCTGCAAATGCGTCAAGCCAGTGATATTGTCGGTTATAAATTTCAACCACTGACTCAATATCGCACTATCGTCACAGTGTATTATTCCAGTCCGAGCCCCATTCAATCCACGTACTTCAAACGCATTGCGACGTAACTTATCCGTACCAAATATGTAACGTGTCACGTAAGCCATCATCAGTGGTACTAGAAATTAATTACAATAAAAAGATCAAGTGTTGTCTGAGTTATAAATAATTAAATTACATTAATTTTGTTTCAAATTGTTAGTATTACTTTTTGGAATTATATTTTAATCTGTTAAAATATATATTAAGATATTTTTTTCAAGACATAAATTACCAGTAAGAACGTCGATCCATTTTTTGAAATTCGTCGAGCAAGCTGATGTATTAGAGCCGTGTCTACTGTGACCACTTATAGGACTAAGAGATCGTTTGTTAGGTAAATCCCATTCTTCGTCAACTTCACCGTTAGTTGCGTTGTCTAACTTTTCTTCTTTTTCTGTTCAAGTACAATTTAATTAAGTACAAAAAAATAAAATAACCCACACTTAAAATTATCAAGTTTAATTTTATAAATTTATTATATTAATACGACTGTTTTAGCCTCTACATCCTGAATTTTTACTACCATCGAAATTAAAGAATTTAATTTATAAAAATTGTTTCTAGAACCTTTTTAGTGAAAATTAAAAACATGAAAATTACCATTTCTCTGTAGAAAAGGTTTTGCTGCGCGGTAATGCTTCACAGTAAGCACAACAATATCCCCAGCATTGCGTAAAATATTCACAGCGTCGTCGTGGTTGCATGCCGTTATATACTCTCCATTTACTAAAAAAGTAATAAAAAACAACAATAACAATAACAGTTATCATAAAAATCATCTACAAATAATGTATTTTATTTTTTTGGCTTTAATGCCAAAAAATACTTGCCGAGAATTAATTTAATGTGAAAAATTTTAATTATGTATTTTGATTTTTTATTCACAAATTTCTGCAGGATTATTAATTATGTTTTTTTTTTTTTTTTTTTTTCTAAAATGAAGGTTGCAAAAAACCCAAAATTTTTATTAAAGATCTATTTGATCAATAAATTGAAATTATTGGCCGTTTTTTGTATATATTTTATGTGTTTAAAATTTATTTTAAAAATATATCAAAAATCAATAAAAATAACCAAATTAAAGAAATTTATTAAATTGAATATTTTTCATTTTATCGAAAATATCCCTTAGCAAAGCCTTATTACCTTAGTAGCCTTCAGTACTTTAGTTTGTAAATATATAATAATAAATGTAACTTTCTTACTTGAGTGATCAAAAGGACTAATCCTCAACCGACAACATATGTATATAGAGTGACAGTACATAGATAAATGGAACATGTTTTACTACGATACCTTGTCCCCGTAACACAGTACAAGCAGGCTAGAGCAAGTGTCCTGGCACGTCGCTATACACCGCACTGATGAGACCAAATGTACACACAAGGTCGAAACTTAAACTTACTTCTATCATCTTTTAGCAAATCACTATTAAACTATTAAATAACTAATTGCTCGCAAATTAAATAGCAATGAAAGTTAAAAGTTGTTTAATTTCACACAATTTTATATTACCATGTAATATATTATTCTTTATAATTTTTTTTGAAATTATAGACATTTTTGTATCAAAAAATTGATTAAAAATTTTATTTTTTAGCTTTTTTTAATTGGAAAAAAAAAAATTATTTTAAATAAACAAGTTAAAAATTTTCATGCAAAATTTTTTTCTAGCTTAAATAAAATTTTTTCTAGCTAAAAAATTAAATTATTTAAAATTTTAAATTGAAACATTGTTCATTTTTTTTTTTTAATAAATTTTTTTTCGCAGTTTAATTTAAGATAATTTGAGTTTAAGTAGACATTTTGCAACTCCAAATTATAAAATGAATTGTAATTACTAATTAAAAATGAATTGACTGAAACAACCGAGAATTGAAATTTAAAACAATTAAAACTTGTTACTGAAAGTGACATAAATATTTAAACAAAATAAAATATGCCGTCCGTCTGAGATGAAGTAAATGTCAAGTTGTAATAAAATATAAATTCAATACAAATATATGTATATATAATAGAAAGAGTTATAAAAGCATGGTAAGTAACATAGAGTACAATTGAATATTATGTATTCATGGAATACAATATTGACTACTCTATATTTAAAAGTATAATAAATTTTAAAAAGTCAATTGACACGTATTCCATCTTTATTTATTTATTTATTTAGTGGCTCTCGGTTAGTACCTTTGATAATAGCGTCGCCGACGTACAACTGGCCACACTGTTCAGCGGCTTGATTTTTGTATATTCTTGATATCAGTACCGGTAATTTGTGCTCAGCACCGCCTTTTATGCTCAACCCCAAACCACCAACTTTTTGCCGAGTTATCTGGATCATGCGTTCTTTAGAGTCCAGCGGCGGTTTGTTGTGATTCACTGCCTGCTGATTACATTTATTTATCAACTGTTTAGATATATACACTTAGCTTATTTTATTTTATTTTATTAATCTACTCGATTTATTTTTGGCTAAGTTAAATCGATTGACTACTATACAAGTGAACGAAAATGTGCCGAGTTATGACTCTAAATATTACAAGGATCGATTACTAGTAAATGGAAGTTCATTTTTGATAAGGTTTTTTTACGGAAATTGATTTTTGTCATTCAATAGTCGGGAGATTATTTCCAGATTTGTTAATTAAGTATTACTCAGAGTAGATTTAAGTGATTTTTACGAATAAGTTTTAAGAGCATAATTATTAATTATTCCCGGTAGAAAAATTAAATTACCGAGTTTTTTTCTACTGTACAAATATTTTAACCAAACATCGCAGTAAAACTGATAGTATTTAGCCCATTACCCTCGACGTTATTTAGTAATTAATGCGCTTGATTTATTATCGCTTCAAAGAGATTCTAATTCAATCTAATTTATCACAGCCTTCTGCGATAAATTTCCGTGCGCTCTTTTACATACCGAAGAATAAAAAAATAATGAATTCAGGAGACTTTTTCTTGCAGTTCATAACTTAAAAAAATTTATAAGAATTAATGGAATGGAATAATATTAATTACCTCTAAATCTTCTCTCTGAAGTTTTAAAACTTCCATAGACAAGTAAAGTCGCATAGATATTGGCTTACTTTTGCCATCACTAACAGCTACCATTCCCGTCCTCACCTAAAAAACAATGCGATTCATTAATTATTTTTTTAGTCTTGATGACAACTACAGACCTTTAGGTCTTTCTTTAGGAAAATAATGTTCATAATGATCTGTAAATTATTAATTAAATTCTCACGTTTTATCGATTTTAAATACAATGTTATGTAGGTAAAAAGAACAATTTAATCGATTCGATCGTTAATTTAAGCAATAATAATAATAATAATAATAATAAATTATAAAAAAAATTTTTTTTAGGTTTATATTAATTTTATTTTAATTTAAAAAAATACAAAATTTTAATAAAAAATAAAAATTATTAAATAATAACAATAATAATAATAATAATAAATTTTTGTTTAGGTTTATATTAATTTTATTTTAATTTAAAAAAATTTTAATAAAAAATGAAAATTATAAATAATACTAATAATAATAAAATTTAAAAAAATAACCTTAAGTTTCTGATCAATCTTCTCCTCAATCGGAGTACTCATTTTGGTGATATTTATTTTCATTATATGTATTATACCACAACTAACATAAAATTATCGGTTGCATATTTAAGGGCGATAAAAGCACGTTGATTTAATGACATTTTGAGGGTAACTAGACTCGCACACTCCGTCATGTTCTATCGTCTGACGGTGTTTGACTAAATATAAAATCCAACTAAGGTACTTCACGGACAGGAGCTCCAGGGTCTCTTATATCGATTCTTATAATGCCAAGATTTTTAGCTCGTTTTAAAAGTGCGCGGTGTAATTAAGCCGAGGAGCACATCCGGGGTGGTTGGCTTCTGACATAACAACTTTACCAGTCAAAGAGACACTTTTTTTATCCATGCTTTAACCAGATTTTTTTTAATGCCGATACTTGACGACTTTTTATATTACTTGACACCGCTAACGAGACTTACGAGTGCATATGTACCGCTACACTAATCCCTTTTTTTACCAACTTTTTTTATTCATCCCCGTGAGTTGTGGACCGGCGCACTCGGTAAAATACTCCCTCATATATGTGTTGTTAGTCTACACAATTATATTTACGTGCACGCATATCAAATACTCAGCAAATTCTGCGCAAATATTGTAACTCGACAGATTCGCGCGGTTATTTAAAATTACTAGACATTTTACAATTTTTTATTTTTTAATCAATAAAAAATCTTTTTTTTTAATTGCACTTAGAAGTTTTCAAATTTTCTACCAGACAATTTTTTTTTCAATAAAAAAAAATTTTCAACTAATTTAATTTTTATTATTCAAATCCTTGTTAAAATTTTAATTAAACTATTTTTTAAATACAAGAATGTAAAAAAATAAATTTCTAGTCATACAAGCAGTATGATACGGCTCTTAACAAAAATCATTAACTGACCTTTTAGATTGCACTTTACCTAACAGATTAATGAGTTAAGAGTAATTGATCTTCAAAAGCGCCCTTGACCCTAATAAACTACTGAACAGTTAATATTGATGAATTTCAAGCTGAAAAACTTTAATTCACAAAAAATTCATTCTTAAATTTTTTTTTTCTCAACTAAAAATCCATATCATGTATATTATTAAGAAAATAAAAAAAAATGTTGTGTCTAAGATAGTCAATTTATTATGATAAATATTTAAGCTGCATTCAAAAATGCTCTATCTCTAGAAACATAATTTAACAATTACCTTGTATCTCTTGAACTATTGACATTTTTAAAGATATAAGCTCACCCTGACATTACACTCATCGAGACCTTTCATTTGAGTACCCACATCAATTTTTCATATATTTATGTATATTATATATATATGTATATATGAAAAATATATCAAAAATGCATGTGGGTACTCAAATGAAAGCTCTTGATGAGTGTAACATCGGGATGAGCTTATATCTTGAAAAACGTCAATATTTTATTTATTTTCAGTTCACAAATCACGGCACATAGTGACCGCAAGGTTGCTAGTTTCTATTATCTTATTATATAAATAAATTAAAATAGTTTTTAAAAATATTTGTTATAATTAATTTATTAATTTATTTTTTACAATTTATTAAAAAAATTTCGTATTTACATTTACATATACAATAATTTATTAAAAAATTCTTTATATAGTTTTCGATATTATAAATAAATACAATTTACATAATTAAACAACAATTACGGCTGTTGAAAAAATTTATTATTCTATAATTTATTATCTCCTATATTGTAATGAAAAAATATGACATTGAAATTTATTTTACATACAAAAATAAATTTATTGTTTGTGAATTATGTTGCTATTAAAATATGTAAATTAATAAAAAGATTTACTAAGTATACACAAAGAAAAAAAAAAAATGTACAAAATAAAAAATCAAAATATGACAGACTTTAAAAAATCATACGCCGCATTAATGACCCCCCAGCTAACAAAAGACCTCATGTAATTTAAATGAACACCCTGATAAAAATTAGTAATCTTTCGATTTCTTATCACCCACAAATCTTTAAGTGTTACAATAATTTTATCAAAATCTCCGCCAATTTTAGTCTGCATGTGAATTTTAACGATATTCATCGGATAAAAAACGGTGCTGGTGAACCCGCCGATCAACGCGCCGCAGAGGAAGTTGTGAAAGAGCGTGTGTTCATTACCGACGTAGTCTTTGGATAAGTCTCTAAGAGAAAAGAAGGTCAGGTTGGACAGTCCGTTCCTGATTATTATTGGCATCAGTCCTCTGTAGCACTCGCAGATTCCGTACTCGCGTAGCAAGTACTTAAAAGCGTGAGAAGTGTTTTTGAACTTGGTGTGGTACCGCCAGTCTTGGAGCAGAGTTTGGACCCGCTCGAGGGGCATCAGGATGGCTTCGATGCCTCCAGCGACGTTGGCAGCTAAAACCTTTGACAGAACTGGCTGGTGAGTTAGCAAGTAGATCCGCGACTTGCTTCCTTCATAGACGCTGAACATTATGCTGAGCGACAGCGTTTTCTGGCAGAGAGGTGGCAAAATTCCGCGGTACAGCAGTCTTATGCCCTCTTTCGAGAGTTGCCTCACTGCGGCGTTTACCTGAACGCCTTCCAGGATCTGCCGGAAGATTATTTTGTTCATAGGATACGTCACGCCGACGTTTATCACCGCGGCGCCCCATCCGCAGATGAATTCTCGGCTGTCGTCTGCTGTAAAGTGCAGCAATGATTTTAACGAAGTCTGAGATGACTCTTCTTCCGGTTTGTTATCATTTCTGCTTGTGATTGATGAATCTTTTGGTTTTTTTTCACTCCAATCCATTTGTAGCTTTTTTTTTTAATTGATTTTTATCTGAAATTATTAAGAAGTATCAGTGGGACGTTTTTTTCAGTACAAGCAGACGAAATTTTTAATAGAAAAATAATAAAATTATTTTATAAATTAATTTTTATTTTTTGGTCATTAATTTTAATTAATTTTTAAAAAAAAAAAGGAATTTTAAAAAATTATTGGGAAATTTTCAAGTGAAAAATAATGAAATTACTTTATAAAGAAAATTTTTTAAAATTAGTTTTTATCTTTTAATCATTAATTTTATTTAATTTTTGGAAAAAAAAAGCAATTTTAAAAAATTATTGGAAAAATTAATCGTGATACTGAAATCGGAAAACGTTTAAAAATTTTTATTAATTAAATTAGAAATAAAAAAAAAATTTTTTTAATTGCACATAGTTTTTTGAATTTTTTACGAATAAAATTTTTCTATTTATTGTAATAATTTTTTGAGTAGAAAAATTCAAAATTTTTCTGATATCTCTATCATTAAATTTTAAATGTCAATTTTTTTTCTCATTTTTTTTTTGCCATAATTTATTTGTTACAAAAATTTTCAAAAAAATCACATATCTGCTAAATTAATTGACTATTTTTTGATTTTATTTAATAAATAAATTTTTTGTAAAAAATTATTTATATAAAATTGCATTTTTAAATTCTAAATGTCAATTTTTCACCATAATTTACTTGTTATAAAAATTTTTAAAATAATAAAATATCTGCTAAATTAATTTTCCTCTACAAATTTTATAATTATAGTTAATCATCTGTCAAACTATTTCATTTCCTGTGGAAAGTCCCATACTATCACTTAACTATATCAATATAAATGTATGAATAAGTAAATAAATTTCGTTTCATTTCTCTGCAAAATTTTCTAAAAAAAAAAGATTAATACTAAAAAAAAAATTAGAGCACTTACTGTTCGATAAAATGGAGCGCAGTCCATAATTTTTGAATATTTATGACACAATTTGAATTTATTCAATATCACATTATTTAATTTACCATTATCAGTTCTTATATAATCAATTACTCCATTAATAATAATGATTACAACAAAAGCGGGTAAAACTGTGTCAAGACAGTGACATAATTGAAATAGTTATTTATTATTGATTAAGTTTTTTGAATTTGATATTTTTTGGTGGTAGCTTACTATTTTTTTTTTTTTTTATGATTTTTTAGTTTTGTTTCATACATCAACACCATTACACGTGTATTGTAATCATACTGAAGTGCTTTAATGGTCAGTTTTGCAGATGTCAGAGTATTCAATTCATACTGGTATGACTTGCGTAGTTAGTACCAACATTAATGCCATCTACTATAAATTTATTGTAATTACAATAATTATTCCAATGATTGACATTAGATAATTCAGAAATTTTTACTGAAAATTAGCAGTAATTTTTCTTATTTTTATTAAAAAATAAAATGGGTCCAGAAAATTATTTTTAAAAAATTGTATTTGTAATTTAGAGCTAGTTTTATTGTAATTAATAGAGTTTTATTTTAAAATAGTTTTTCTAATAAAAATCATACAAGATACATACAATAATCTTCTTTTTAAATTGACTAATTAATTAATAAAACAATTTTTTTTTTAATAAAAAAAAAAAATCAATATTTTTAATAAATAAAAATTAAATGTCTTGAATTATTCTAATTTTAAAACTTAGAATTTGAAAGTTAAGAAAAAGACACCCGCGACGCGATTTCTGGTAAATTCACGGAAATGACATCACACTAATGATCTCAGCTACGTGTCAGCCACCAATTATTATTATTATTATTATTATTATTATTTAAAAATCTACCTTTGCATACCATATCTTTTCAATTATCAATTTACTGTCATAAAATGTTTGAATACACGTCAACATAAAACTGTTGTTAAATTATCTACACCATTCGCAATAATATTGTGCAGTTTATTGATTTAATTATAACTTCTACGTCGTTCCAATTACAGGTAAAAATTATGACTAATATAACTATAATATGATTAAATCACCTCGACAAATTTAATTAATTGCAATATTGTTCCTCAGAATTGAACTACATATTTATTATCAATACTTTTTCTTAAGTAAAAAAATTTCAAACATATTTCTCACAATTTAATTAATAAGCGCTTTTTTATTAAGCTTATTATAAATGATTTATTTTTCAAGTTATTTAAAAAACAAATTATTTTTCAGAGCAACCATGCGGCAATTGAAAGGAAAAACGAAAGAAACAAATAAGCAGAAAAAAGAGCGCAAAAAGGAGTTTTTAGAAAATAAGCAAAGAGTATTTTCATTAGTATTGCCGACTTTGGCTGCGATATTTGTCCTAATTGTTGCATATGTTTACGTCAAGACACGTCCTAAGCTTGACTTTTAATTAATTGTATTTTTTTTATTTAGTGTGTATAAAATAAATATTTTATTATTTTTATCGCATTTACTTCCGCAGTATGCAAAAAAACCAAAAGCGAACAGAGTTTTTGTTATTTTTTTAATAACTTTTAAGAGAAAATTAATTATGTTCATGTAAAATGATATTAAGTAGTTGTTCTAATTGTAATTTGGTCTGGAAATATTATTTTTTTTAATGTGTAATTTATGTTTTAATTAAAAATATTTTATTTATGTTTTATTTGAATGTAAAGTTAGTGAAAATTATATATTTATAAAGTGAAATAATATATTTGTATGGGACCATAAAAATACATATTTTATAATATCGAAAAATTAGTTTTTTTTTATTAAAATGTAAAAAAAATCAATAGACATTCGTTTAGTTTTTTTTTAACAAATAAATTTTGGGAAAAAAATGTAAAATTAATTTAGCAGATATTTAATAATTTGTGAAATTTTATAACAAATAAATTATGGCAAAAAAAAATTGACATGTAGAAATTTAAAGAAATTAAAAATGCAATTTTTTTAATAAATAAAAATTAAAAAATTGTTAAAATTCTTCAAAAATTGTAAAATATTAATTTTCATTGTTTAATTACCGATTGAAGAGTCTCTAAAGTTAGTTCCAAAAAGAAACTACATGCGCGCTCAATTCTAAGGCCTCCATTTTTAAATGGCCGTGCTTATATAAATTTTTTGACATATTCAGGATTTCTATAAAATTATTGACTATTGACTATTGGGTCATGAACAGTACACAATAAACAAATATCATCTTGTCATTTCTTTGTTCGTTTTAAATCTATAAAATTAACTCTTAATTGCTTCAAAAAAACTCGTTTTATCTAAATAATAAGTAAATTTTTGGAATAAACAAAAAAATGGCTACGGAATTGTTACTCGGTGTCAGATTAATTCCTGGATTGTCAAAAGTTTTAAAAATAAATGACATTAATTTACAAGCTAAAGTTGAAAATTTGCGAATGGAAACTGCTTCTAAAATTGAGCTTCCTAAAGATTCATTTGGTATGTATTATTTTAGAAAAATTTCTTATTATTATTGAACTAACCTGAAAGTATAATAAAATATGGTATTGAAGTTAGCTGTCACTTGACCATTTTTTAATTTTATTTAACAAAAAAATTTGTTCCGAAAAGTTATTTTTAAAAAATTGCATGTTTAATTTATAAAAATTTCGAAAAGTTAATTTTTTTTCTCATTTTTTTTTATTGAGTAATTTATTTATTGGAAAAATTATTAAATAACTGCTAAATTAATTTTCATAAATAAAATTGGCATAATTTTTATGAAAATGAAGTTAACCGACATTTCAAAATTTTTAGAAATTTTTTTATTGAAAAAATTTCAATTAAAAAATTAAAAAAAAAATTTCACATGTAAAAAATTTGAAAAGCTATAAGTGCAATTTTTTAAAAATATCTTTTTAGTTATAATTTAATCATTACAAAAAATAAAAATTCCATGTGTAGAAAATTTGAAAAACTATAAGTGCAATTTTGTTTTAAAATTTTTTAAATTATTATTAGTCTCAGGTTATGACTGTGGTTATAAATAAATGAATTGTGTGTTTTCTTTGTTCAGAGCTCATATACTGCGGCTGCATACTTGAGGATGACGTTACCCTAGAGTCATGTGGTCTGAAAAATGGATCGATGGTTCACGTGCTGAAGAAAAAGGCTTCAGAATTACCCGTACCAGCAAAGTCTATTCCTGAGGAAAGTATCTTGCAATTGGCATCTGCTTTCAGGTCATTCAATGAGAATCCAGCGTTGAAAAGTGCATTGCATGTAAGTTTGTTATTATTAATTTACTATTTTAAATTATAAAATTACCAGCTGTTACTCGCCCGCTCCGCTGGGCGCTTTATAGAATTCCATTTTTATATCTAGACTTGAAATTAAATTAGAGTATTGTTTTGACTTGTACAGATTCCCAATTTTATCGAATTAGCATGCACCTCTTATCCATGTAATATATTCGCTTGACAGATAGATTTTATAACAGTTAGTTTCATTTATTTGGAATTTAAGGATGGTACTGAAATTAACTAACATTAAAAATTTTTTTATAATTTTAATAGACCAAGTTTTTTCTTAGAAAAACCTTAAGATATTCTTTTGGCTTGATTCTGGGTTGTTAAAATTTTTTTTAAGATCATTTTTGCTTCTAATAACTATACGGAAAAAATAATATGTAAAAATTACAATTACAACTCAGTAAAAATAAATATCGTTAATATTAAATTTTTTTTTTTTAAACATAAATTTATAAGTTTAAAACTAATTTTTTTCTTTTTTAATTTAGCGTTTGAGCAAACGGCCAGAAGTTATTGAAAATATTATTTTAACAACTCCTGGACTCAGTGAAGACTCGGTAGCAATAGCAATGCTTCAAGATCCTGATCTTATGGCCCACTTTACTCACTCTGACACTGTTAAAAGGTATTAATCATTCATTTATTAATATTATTGCTGTGCAAAATTATATTGATCTCTACATTTTATTTTTTAAGAAATTTATAATTACTCTTGAAGAAAAATAATTTTTTTTTTTATTTAAATAAAGCTATTAACAAAAAATTGTAGCAAGATAATAACTCTACTCTTTACTTCTCTATTCATAAATATCTCTATACTAAATAGTTCAATTCCTAAATAACACTATTTCTAAATATCTCTATTCTTAAATATCTCTATTCCGAAATAATAACTATTTCTAAATAACTCTTTTCGTAAAAATCTCTATTCTTAAATAACTCTATTCGTAAATTAACTTTTATTCTAAATTTCTCTATTCTCAATTGTCTTTATTTCTAAATAACTCTATTTGTAAATATCTCTATTCTTAAATAATTCTATTCATAAATATCTTTATTCTTAAATAACTCTATTCCTGAATGACTTAATTATAAGATATTTTTGAAACTACATTTTAAAAAAAACGAGTGAATTAATTATAATTAATCAATTATTCTTGATCTAAGAAAATTTTCTTGAGTCAAAAATTTATTCTCTTGACTAAAGAAAATCATTTTCTTCAAAATGGAATTCTTGGTTCAAGAGTTTGGCTCTTGAGTCAAGTAAATTTTTTTATCAGTGTATGTTTATGAATTTCTTGTAATGAAGCTTAGAATTAGTATACATTTTCAATACGCCGTACGAATTAATCATTCTACTTATACCTAGTAAAGTATTGCGCTTTGCTAAGTTAATAACAATTTTGATTTTCGCTAACAATGAAAATTAAGTTTTTCAAAGCTCCCTAATTGATTAATTATAATTGTTTCACTCGTTTTTTTTTTTTAATTCAGGTTCAAAAATGTTCTATAATTAAGTCATTCAGGAATAGTAAAAAAAAAAAATTTATTTTTAAAATTCTATTTCTGATGAATTAAAAAAAAAAAAATAATAATAATTTTTGAAGAAAATAAAATCATTTAAATTTTTAAAAATTGTTATCAAATTTTTTAATGACAATTTAACTAAAAAAAAAATTTATTTTTTTCTTTAAATTCTACTTCTGATAAATTAAAAAAAAAAATAATACTAATTTCCACAAAAATAAAATTATGTTAATTTTTAAAAATTTTTATCAAATTTTTTAATGACAATTTAAATAAAAAAAAAAAATAATATTAATTTTCCAAAAAAATAAAATTATTTTAATTTTTATAAAAATATTGTAAATAAAAATTAATAAATAAAAAAAATTAGAATTGCAGAGTTACACCCATTGTTAATTGAAGCGGCGCAAATGATAGCAGCAGCAGTTCACGAGGAAGCGCACAATGCAGCGGCGACAGCTGGACCCTCGTCATCAGCGATGAACGCGGCATCAACCGCGTACTCCTACAGCCTGGACAATATGAGCGACGACGAGATGGCGGGCGACTCATCTCAATCGTCAGATTCAGCGCATCATCAAAATGGGTCATCGCGTACCGGCGCAATGGCAATTACAACCGCGCAATTAGCCGCAGCTCTGGCACGAGCCGGTGCTGGTACTCAATCGGCTCCACCCCCCTCAAGCTCCTCGTCCTCGGCATCAACCGGAAGCTTCAATTCTGGAATCATAACTACGGAAATGTTTACCCAAGCGATGCAACAAGCCTTCGCTGTGAGCTCTGGTGGAGCACAGGCAGCCTCTCCAGCTTTGCAATCAGCTTCTGCTAATCCAGCGACATCTGCTCCAGGAGCAGCAGCACCTGGAAGTAATCTCGAAAGACAGCTCGCTCAAATGCACGAAATCGGGCTTCAAAATGATACTATTAATGTTCAAGCTCTTGAATTTACCAATGGCGATGTACAGGCCGCTATTGAACTTGTCTTTAGTGGTCTAGGTGATAATTAATTTTTTTTATTATAATTACTTAATATTTAACACGTCAATAAAATTTTTGTTATTAATAATTAGAGAGTTTATTTTTAAATAATTAATCGGTTGTGCTAATTTTAAAACACAGTAATTGATATATTTTTTATATCTGTTAAGCTGACATTTAATTGTCCTGCATTGATCATCAGTATCTCGATCATTATTTAAGCAATAAAATTTATTTTTAATTTTTTGCTTTAATTAGAATTTTGTTGCTTGATTAATAAATAAAATTTCGCTTTATTGAATAATGACTTTTGTTAAATTGCTCTGTACTTTCTTAACTATTGACGTTTTTAAAGATATAAGCTCATCCCGATGTTACGCTCATCAAGAGCTTTCATTTGAGTACCCACATGCATTTTTATATATTTTTCATATATACATATATATAATATACATTTTAAAGATATAAGCTCATCCCGATGTTACACTCATCAAGAGCTTTCATTTGAGTACCCACATGCATTTTTGATATATTTTTCATATATACATATATATAATATATATAAATATATGAAAAATCGATGTAGGTACTCAAATGAAAGGTCTCGATGAATGTAATATCGGGATGAGCTTATATCTTTAAAAATATCAATAGTTTGCAAGATACAAGGTCATTTATTAATTATGTTTCTAGAGATTAAAAAATCAAAAAATCTTCAATTATAAGTTATTATTATTACTATGTTATAAAATAGGACAGCCGAAACCTAAAAAATTTTTTTTCATTCATTTCTTTTCTGTAATACAATCTTCATGAGTACTTTTCATAACAAATAAAATTTTTCTCCAACAACTTTCAAACAATAAATATTTATTATTTCTGTGCTTTAAATATTTCAAGTACATATTACTTTACACAAAGAAGTTCATTGTATTGAATTATATATTGTATTCCGAGAATTTAAGCATTCGTATCATAGTATTGAATTTTGATCATCTAGTCCTATCCAGTTCGAGTGTAGGTTCTCTTGATTTATTATTATTTTTTTCAGGTCATAATTTTTCTATTAAATTTCGGTGTTGACTTTATTGATAAATTTTCTTTGAAATCCGAGATCAAGAGAATTTTTTTAATAAAACTACAAATGTTTTCTTTTTATTTTTTAAGTCAGATAAATTTCTTTACTGTCAGCAACTTTAATATAATGAAAGTTTAATTTATTTTCTTCAATATATATTGTTGATTATTTATTTTTTTTTTTCTTATATATAAGATGCTGGCTCGTTTAATCAAATGTCATTTTACTCAGAAGTAAATGTACTGTTATATATATATATATATATATATATATATATATATTTTTTTTAGTAAAAATTTTTTATAACTAAAATTTTATTATCTTTAATTTATAAAAAAAATTGTAAGTTTTAGATATCAATATAAGTCATTATAATTTTTTGAACAAAGTAAAGGATCAAAATAATAATAACTTTATTTTTAATAGATTGAATATCTAGTTACAAAAAACCAGATGTATTAAAACCATTTCAATGAATAATTAAAACCCAACGTAAGCCGTCAAAAGTTATAACAATAAAAATCCTTTCCCTACTAAAATAATAATTACAAAAAATCAACAAACTAATACTACTCATGAACTTTTCTATTATTCAAGATTATTGATCGCAAATAATGACCTAGATCCATTATTGAATTTTTTTTTTTTTTTTACAATTTCCTCCTGTTTGTAATTAATTATCGCGCATATGTGCTATCAGCTTGATACATAATTATTTTTAATTGACTACAAAGCAGAGGCCTATTTTTTCGATTTTCTTAAATTTGCTAAAAAAAAAAAGTTCTCTAAATTGATAAAAGAATTTATTTAAAACCCTAAAATTATTCTAATTAAATAAAGAAAAAAAAAATATCAATAATTTTAAAAACAATAATTTTGCGTTTTTCTCCTTTAATTAATTTATTTATTTATTTATGAAAGCAACCCAACAGAAATTTATTAAATACTAATAAAAATTTTCTTAAATACTAAGATAATTTTATTTATATAAAATATAATTTTATCAATATTAACAAAGTTTTTTTTTTCTCAAAAAGTTCAAATAAATTTTTTTATTACTATTAAATAAAATTGTCTCTCAGTGAATAACAGAGTCTCTACAATATTTTAACATAATTTAATAACATGCTAAAACAGTGACATAATGAAAACAACCCCGTTTGTTTCAATAGAATTTTTTTTAATAAGCAAAATTAAACTTACCCCTAATTTTTCTTAAAGAAATTCAATTTTAATTTAATTATTTTTGAGTGTAAATATTTGATTGCTCGATAAGAACAATATTTTTTTTTTTAAACTAAACTCTCCCTCAGTTTTTAAAATCAATAAAAATATACATTGAACGGTAAAAGTAACCACATTCTCCGCTAATACTACTTACTAACCCAGTAACTTCTAAAATCCGTAAACAAGAGTTTAAATAACATACACTAAGCAGTCGTGCCAAAAATAATTTTTACTACTTGTAAAATTAATTTTTAATCCAAAAAAAAGAGACTAGACCGGCTGCGAAAAGATTAGCGTGGAAAAATATGGGAAGGATCCTTGGAATAAAATGTATTTAATACGTAAAATTTTTTATATTTAGTGTATAATATATTTGATCGGAGATTATATTAAACCAGAAAGGAACATGTGGTAAGTAGAGTATTATATTCATTTATGCGCGTATCCTTATAAATTTAGTTCAACAGTAGCGCACGCTGTTGCATTATACTTTGCTGTATAAATCCTACACAACTACTTGTAAAATATAGACAAATTCTTTTGTACGTACACACATTTACATTACACTAGACACTTACAATGAGCATGTGTGTGTACGCGGTTATTCTAGGTAAGGGTTCCGAGGGGATATTCAGGCCTCCAAGCGTAGCGTTGTTAACTGAAATCTAACTTTCATTCAAGTTACACACGTGTGTTGTCAGTGTCAGTGGATAGACCTCCGCGTCTTTTCTTCCACGTGCATTTTTTAACGTTTATTTTACAAAAATTTCCCCTTAGAATTTTCAAGAAAAAATATTTTATTAAATTAAAAATTTAAAAAAAATTACGAGTTTTTATACAGAAAAAAAATTGCGCTTCAATTTTGTGAAAAAAAAAAAATTGGATTTTTTGGATTGATGTGAGGATAAAAATAAATATATTAAATTAAGTGGATTGTTTTATTAGAAGCTTAATTACGGAGTGATTAATAAAAATGTTAAGGGTATCAAATTTGTGATTAAATATTGATGGTTATTTTTAGTAGAGCAATTTGTTGGGTAAATATTTTTTTTTTTTTAATTATTAAGAGTATAAAAAATAATTTTTTGGAGTGAAAATTTAAGAATTTGCTAGTTTAAATTTGAATTTAATTGCCGTAGATTGCGGACGAGACAAAAGTGGATTTACATAATACATAATTGATAACCCGAGCTTAAATTTGACGGCGGAACGATGTTCTTTGATGCAAATTACTGATCCCAGTGTAATTATTGTAATTGTATTCGTATCGGGCGTAAGCGATAATAATTTTATAATTGACAGGCCTACGCTCTATTTATCTTTTAATTGTTTCAAGGTAAAGACGCGCCAGTTTATTGCTCGAGAAAATCGGCTGTTAAAAATATTCAAATAATTCTTTTTTAATCATAAATAATCCAATCTTCCGTTAGAAAATTTTTAGTTAGGAAGTTGATTTAGTTTTTTTGAAAATGTAATTTTTACTTGAATAATTGACGTGAAATTTACTTTAGTACGTTTTTATTCAAATTTATGTTTTGGAAAATTGAAAAATTAATTTTTTTAATAAATTATTCTTCAATTTAGAGAAAAAAATTTTTTTTTTTTTTTCAGTTTTAGATATACTTAAAAAAATTATAGTTTAAAATTTTTTTTAATTATTTGGATTTATATTTAATGTAACACTTCCAAAGTAAATATAATATAAAGTTTGGAATGGAAAAATAAAATATGTGGTATTTTTACTGCTTAGTTTGAATATATAAAATAATATTTACCGATTTATTCCTCGGTTAGGTCGTTTACCTTACTCGTCAGAAATTAATTAAAAAAAAATTTGACATTATTAGTTTTTTTTTTTTTTTTTCATAAAAATGTTTCGATAATTTTAATGAATTTTCTTAAAAAAAAATTTTTAAATAGCCATATATTAATTTTTAATTAATTAAAAATTCTAAACATTTTTTTTTATCTTAGATTGTTGACTAAAAGTACAAAAAAAAGCTTAAAAATGCCTTACGAAGAAAACGGTAGCACAGAAATAACGATGGAGGATGTGGAATTGAGTCCACTGCAACGGCGAACGCGGTTCCACGTGAACAGGGTAGATAGCTTGGAAGGACGTACCAGCCTTTTGGGTGAGCAGGAGACAAGAAAATCATTAAGACACATGACACGCGAGGCATTGCCGCGGCTGGATAATTATAGAAATATTTTGAGTATTCAGGCGGCACACCGACCTACTCTTGATGAACTTCATAACCCCAGTCTTGGGAGCAAGGTAAAAAAATTAACTATTTTTCTCTAGATTAGATACTAATTAAATCACCGACCTTAGAGCATTCTCAAGAAGAGATAAACGATGACTCGGATAATAATTTACAGGTCAATATGAAGACCTCCGAGTTATTGAATCAGCTGATGTGTGGTACTTGTTATATTTTATGTGAGGAATATTTTTAGATTAAGCCGTAAAGAAATATTTTATATATAACTACTCGTATTTATTTTATTTCTTTGATAGAGGATTCATTTCTTTTGTATTGAAAAAATATTTTTAAAAAATTTCATTTGTAAAAAAAAACTTAAAAAACTGTAAGTGCAATTTTTAAAAACAATTTTTTTGTTCTTATTTAATGATTGAAAAAAAAAAAATTAAAAATGTCGGCTAACTTTAGTATTATAAAATTTAGTTACGAATTTAATTATGAATTGTTTTCATCTTAAATCCTTTTCTGACAATTTTAATTTAAAAAATTTTATCACAAAAATTTAAATATTTGAATAATCGTAATTTATGTATGAGATTCCATTATAAAATAACGGCGCCACTGCTTGTTATTACCTCGAAAAGTCTAAAATAAATTGGACAATTTATACTTAACAAGATAGAGCCTATTTATAGTTTTACACGAGCATAAGTTTCACGTTATGACTTCCGATTAAAAAATTATTTTTGTCTATTCTTAGTCCATTGATCGTGAACTTGAATCGTCATTAAAACAACTTGTAAATGAGTTTAAAATAATGCTTCTGCTGGGGGAGCGTAAAAGCTCTATATATGCTAGTTGAATCGTTTGTACAGTTGTCTACAATAAAATTACTATTTATATATTATATGTATACGAAAATTGACGTGAATATGAGCAAAAATTTATTATTTTTTAATGATTCAAGTGCCTCTTGATTCTATGAATCGTTTAATGAGCTCATGGAAATCAATTTAATGAGATAACATAAAAAGAGACCTTGACATTTTAGTAGCAATACATTTTTTTACGTAAATTGCTTCTTAATAAGGTATTATAATAGCATTTGAATAAAATTAACTGGATGAAATTATAAGGATTCGAGAGATTTAAGTTCCGGTAATTATTTAATTCTCTAATAAGGATTCCGAGTTTAGAAAAATCTCATTAGATTCTTAACTCTAATCCACTGAATTTATATTTCTACTTTAATTTTTAACTTTTAAAAATCTATAAACAAGTTTTTGAGAGTAAAAATCTTCAACAATAGGACAATCATTCGATAAACAGTTTGTTTGCTGTAGTAAATCGTCTCCAAATTTTAACAGCATGTGCATTATGCATTTAATTACTTATATTATAAATTTGTGACCCAACTACCTTATTATTATTTTTAAAGGGTCCTGCAACAAGCACACTGCCGTTTACTCACGTAAAAGAACCTGAAACAGGTATAAAGTTCGGATGGATACAAGGCGTATTAATGAGATGTCTTCTGAATATTTGGGGTGTTATGTTATTCCTACGGCTATCTTGGGTCGTCGCACAAGCTGGAGTTGGTATGCATTTTATTTAATTTAAAAGGAATATTCATTTAATTAAACTTCAAAGCGCTGTGTAATGATGCAACTATGTTTCTCGGTTATTTAAGAAATTTCTGTGCTGCTTTGCGTTTGATTTAAATTCAAATTATTTATAAATTATTCAGGAGAGTCTAGAATTTTTTTACAGTGGTCTCTTTTACATTGATAATTTTCTTGGGATATTTTATTTTTAACTAAAAATATATTTTTTTAAATTAAGCAGAAATTTATTACTTTTTGTATAAAAAATTAATTTTACGGTAATACTAAATAATTAATTAAATAAAAAAGAAGTTTATCAAATTATCTCTCTAATAATTTATTTATAAAAAAATCTTAAAACAATTAATTTTATTAAAAATAATCTTTATAAATATTTTATTGAATATTCTAAAGTTAAGTTTTTATTAATTTTTTTTTCCTATAAAATTTTCCTAAAAAAAAAAATGAATAATAATAATTATAAAAATAAAAAAAAATTTTTCAGGCCAGGCAATCCTCTTAATTCTTACAACAACAGTAGTGACAACAATAACGTCACTATCAATGTCTGCAATAAGCACCAACGGCCTAATAAAAGGAGGTAAAAGCCAATGAACACAATAATAACAATAATAAAAATTAATTAACTAATAAAATTGTAGGTGGCACATATTACATGATCTCACGATCTCTTGGTCCCGAATTCGGTGGATCAATTGGTTTAATTTTCTCCTTGGCTAATGCAGTGGCCTGCTCGATGTACGTCGTCGGTTTTTGTGAAAGCTTACAAGACCTTTTGAAATCTTTCGGGCTCTGTATCTACGATTGCGCCCACTATGACGTCAGAATAATAGGTTATTTTATTTTTATTTGGTACTCGGGTTAATAAAGCGAAATAAAAAGAAAATATATTATTATTGAGGCTGCGAGTGGTCTGGTCGCTTATGTCTACCAAGTTAAATTAATTAAATTGATCAAGCTACGGGATTTGTTTTTTTAGATAAATAATAATATTTTTTTTTTTTTTTATAGGCTGCATTACAATTTGTGTCCTCCTTGCCATAGTAATGATAGGAATGGAGTGGGAGGCAAAAGCACAAATTGGTTTACTTATTATTTTACTTATTGCTCTCGGCGATTTCATTATTGGCACGTTTGTTGGACCCAAAAATAATGAAGAGTACGCCAAAGGCTTCATTGGATATAATGGTGAATTTATTTATTATTAATTATTATTATTATGTGAAGAATTTTACTATAATTTTGTTAATTTTCCAGCTGAATTGTTCCGAGAAAATTTTTCACCGGACTATAGAGAGCATGATGGAGTTTCGCATAATTTTTTTTCAGTCCTGGCTATTTTTTTTCCAGCTGCGACTGGAATTCTTGCTGGTGCTAATATTTCTGGCGATTTGAAAGTAATTTAATTTCTTTTTTTATGTTAAATCAATTTTTATCTTTGGGAATTTTCTATCGAGATGGAATTATTAAATTTTTTATATTGCGTTATTAATTAAATAGATACAAATAAAAATAAAAAATTTTGAATTCTAATAAAATATTAAACAAAATAAATTTTCAGGATCCCCAAAAAGCGATACCAAAAGGAACTATCTTGGCAATATTGCTAACAACAATATCATACCTATTGATGGCAGCAATGGTCGGCGGGAGCGTATTAAGACAAGCTTCAGGAAACGTATCCGACTTGCTAATAATGTCCAATCAAACAGAGATCCTGCTGAATAGTACAAACATGTTATTTAATTCTTCTCTACCCCTAGAAGACTTAAACAATAATAATAATAATGATAATAATAATAATAATAATAATAATAGCATAAGTAATTACTCAATTGATAATTTAAACGGCACCGACAGGCTGTGGAGCAATTACGGCACGGCATTTAAGTGCGCCGACACAAACACTTGTAAATACGGTTCACACAACAGTTTCCAAGTTATCGAACTAGTTTCGGTGTTTGGTCCAATTATTTACGCCGGATGTTTTGCCGCGACTTTGTCCAGTGCTTTGGCATCTTTGGTGTCCGCTCCAAAAGTGTTTCAAGCTCTTTGCCAAGATCGGTTGTATCCAGGAATCGCCTGGTTCAGCGGCAAGGATGGGAAAGAACCGATTCGCGGTTATTTTTTAACCTTTTTTATCGCAGTAGGATTTATTTTGATCGGTAATTTTTAATATAAAATTTAAATTGAAAAAAAAAAATGGACTTTTTTGAGAAATTTTAAACAATTGTATTTTTTAAAAATGTTTCAAATTTCCAAATTAATTTTTTCTCACAAAAATATCCATATTTTTCAAAAGAAATTTTTTTTCTCAATTTACTAATTTATAATTATTATAAATAAATTTTTTCAGGTAATTTAAACTCGATAGCACCCTTGATATCAAACTTTTTCCTAGCAGCGTATACACTCGTTAATTTCAGCACCTTCCACGCATCATTGGCTAAGCCAATCGGTTGGAGACCAACTTTTAAAGTATGATTTATAATTAATAATATTTCAAAGTTTCAAATGATATAAAACTTTATTATTTTTTCTTGAGAAGTTTAGATATAACTTTTAAAATATTAATAAGCAATCTACTTTTTATTTTTTTTTATATCAAGAACGTAAAATTTTTTTAGAGTATAATAAAAAGTAATAAAGAAGATAATAAAGTTTTATTTGACTTCAAAAAGTTGTGATTTTAATAGTGTTTTTTTTTTTTTTTTTTTTTTCTAGTATTACAACATGTGGTTAAGTCTTACTGGAGCAATTTTGTGCGTCCTAGTGATGTTTCTCATATCATGGTCCACGGCACTATTGACTCTCGGTTTTGTTATGGCTCTTTATTTAGTTGTTTCTTACAGAAAACCAGGTGCGTTATTTTTAACATTGGAATTAATAGACAAAAAAATTAATAAAATTTTGTAACAGATGTAAATTGGGGATCAACTACTCAAGCACAAACTTACAACAATGCACTGAACGCAGTCCAACAATTGGACAGAGTTGAGGAGCATGTTAAAAATTACCGGCCTCAAATTTTGGTACTTAGTGGTAATCCGAGTGCTAGGTCAATTTTGATTGATTTTGCTCATTATATCACCAAAACACAAAGTCTACTAATTTGCGGTGATATTGTTGAGGTACGAAAGCTTAATTTAATCATATTATTTACTATGAAACTATAAATTACACTACTATTTTTGGATCGATTGTTTACAGAGTACTTTAAGTCATAAGACGCGCAGTGCGCTGATGAGCAAATTTTCCTACTGGTTAAAGAATAACAAAATAAAAGGCTTTTATACGGTAGTAGACGGGGTTAACTTTCAAGAAGGAGCTACGTCACTTATTCAAACTTGCGGGCTAGGAAAATTAAGGCCTAATATCTTGTTGATGGGGTACAAACAAGATTGGGCTGTTTGCTGTGAAAATGATCTTAATATGTACTTTAATGTGATGCAGTAAGTATTTTTTGTACTTGGAAAAAAACTGTTTGATCCACGGAAAATTTTGACTTAATGATTTTTTTATATTTTCAATCACAATACATATGTATATATAGATGCTTTAACAGGATCAATTACCAATTTTTTAATAGACAAACAGGACGGAAAAAAAATTTTACAACCAAAAAACTATTTAAAAATCTTCATAAAAATTGATTATCACCAAAAAATATATAAAATCATTAAAAGTCATATATTTAAGTCAAAAACGTTCTGATGATACTAAATTTAACTGAAATCAATACACTGGAGACAAAATTTAACTTATTCTTTTAATTATATACACAGAAAAAAAATTAACTCGAATCAAGAACAAAATTTTTAAATTAATTCTAATCTCTTGGATCAAGATGAAAAATTTTTAATTCAAGTAAAATTTATTTAAATCAATAAACGTTTTTAAGTTTAAGAATTTTTCTACTCAAATAAAGAAGATGAAATTTTTCAAAGTTATTTCCTTGATTCAAGTTAATTTTTTTTTCTGTGTAATAATATAATTAATAATTAATTTTAACCGCAAGTTATTTTTCAGCAAAGCTTTAGATATGCATGTAGCAGTGGCTATTTTACGTATAAGTGAGGGTTTTGACAACAGCGAGGCCTTGAACGACTCATCGGAAAATTACAAAAAGAGTTCTATCACTATTCGAGGAAATCAAAGTTTTTCTCAGCTAAGCCAAGGTTTAAAAGGGAACATTGAATTTTTATTAATAAAATTAATCGATGATGTCTTGAAATTTTGAATTATTTACAGCCAGCAGTAGCTCAGACGTGTCGATGCCCAGCAGTCCGACTCTAAGAAGGTCAGAAGTAAGCAACAACCCAGATGCATCGGCGAGCGAAGAGCGCCCGGAGAATAGATCAAACAACATTTCCATAATATCCAAAGACATACTGACTTCGATAACTAAATTCAGGAGAAAACAAAAGAAAAGCACCATTGACGTCTGGTGGCTCTACGACGACGGGGGATTGACCTTGCTATTGCCTTATATTATAAGCACGAGACGTCATTGGTCGAATAGTAAATTAAGGGTATTTGCGCTGGCTAACAGGCACTCTGAATTGGAATACGAGCAGCGAAAGTATTTATTTATTTTATTAGATTACATTGAAGATTTTTTTTTTTTTCTTACTTGAATATATTAATTGTCTGGTTAAAATTATTTTCAGCATGGCAAGTTTGCTGTCGAAATTCCGAATTGATTATTCAGATCTTAAAGTTATTCCTAATATTTCGAAGCCTGCTGATCAAAAAACTAAAAATTTCTTTGATTTACTGATTGCTGATTATCAGAGTAGATCTAGATCCTCAGACAATGGTAATTTATTGTTATTATTATTATTAATTTAAATTTTTAATGTTCTAATAAGTACACTGATGAATATGAAAATATGAAGAGTAGTTTAAGTCCTTTTTGTCGCGTAGTAGTCAAGAAGGATCGATAAAAAGTTGAGGGTATTTTTATGTTGCCGATAGCTGGAGGCATTTATTAAAAATTCATCACCTAAGTATCTTTTATCTTAGCGCTTTCAAGAGATCAAACTTTCGATTTTTTTTTTCAAAGTACTAAGAATTTTCTAAAGCTCATAAAAAAAGGAACAAAACTGAAGTTAAAGTTCAAAATTATAAAGTAAAGTTGATAAATATTTTTAGCAAGTTTTTAATTTATCGGCTTTATTTTTTTGATTGTAAATTAAGAAAAAAATCTCCATATTAACTCTCAAAAATTAAATGAAATTTTAAAGAATAATTAGTAATTTTTAATGAATTGAGTAAAAATTATAATTTTTTTTTGTTTTTAATTAACTTTAAAGAAAAATAAAATTTTTATGCAATGTAATTTATTTTTTAAATTTGAAGTATAAACAAACTTTTGATATTTCAAACAAAAAAAAAAGCTATTCATATAAAAAATTGTAATTTGAATTTAAATTTCATACACGGAGCTTGCGTTAGATTTATCAAAGCTCCGTGATTTTATGCATTGCTAAATACCACGTGACTGCGGTTATCTTTTACCGCGGTGCAGTTATACCACTGCCAATCCCTACTCTGAATCTTTTTATCTTCTTTTTTCCTATTTCGTTTCTTTATCTAGTGAATGATAACTCTGCATCGCCGGGCACTGGTGTGCTCTGTACTCCAAGCCGTAAACTAACTAATCTAGCGGGTTAATTTGAAAAACTTTTAAGCCAATGCTCAAAATAAATTTTTCATATCATAATTGAGATAATTTTTTAATTATTTACAGTTGAAAATTTAAATTCTAAAGTTTTTAACAATTTTTTACCTTGGGATTCAAAATTTTATGTTAAAACATTAGTTTCAAAAATATTATTTTAATAAAATAATTTTTGAAAATATTCCAGGGTCAAAAATTACCGAATCAGAACTTTTGGCCATGAACGAAAAAACAAACCGTCATTTACGGTTACGTGAATTACTTATTGAAAATTCAATGGATTCAAACCTCATTGTTATGTAAGATATCAATTTATTTATTTTTTTTTTTGTAAAAAAATTTAATTAATACATAAATAATATAAACAATTTTTCGTTTATTCAGGACTTTGCCAATGCCAAGAAAAGGTGCAGTGTCAGCACCACTGTACATGGCCTGGCTGGAAACCTTAACGCGAGATATGCCGCCGTTCTTATTAGTACGTGGAAATCACACGTCTGTTCTTACATTTTACTCATAAATATTTATTTTTTTTTTTCTTATTAAATTTACTCTAAAATTTAATTAATCAGTTGGTAATTTAAATACTAAATTTACGAACAAAATTATTGTAATAATTATATATAAAATATTTTTTTAATAATAAAATATATTTTGAACAAATATTCATTTTTTTTTTCCTGGAATGGAAAATTATTATTCAAATTTATATAGCGAAAAATAATAGCGCTGCATCTCAATGTCAAGATACATGAGGTATAGACGATGATATATTTTATTCATGACTCTGAGACAGCTTATTGATCAGTTGTTTACATAATTAATGCCGAGGTACTAAAAGTAATTACGCGGTGAGCTTAGGCTTCTAGTTTTTGCAATTATTGATCGCAATATTTCTTAATTTTTCACTAAAACTATCTTTTTAATTAATCAATTATTTTATAAAATGCACTGGTTCTAAGGACAGGTGCAATTGGACCTCTTCAAAATTTTCTTTTGCCAGAAAGAAATAAATAAAAATTAAATGAAATATTAAGGAGCCATTCTGGCTCAAAAAAAAAAAAAAAAAGCAAATATTAATGATTTTTTTACCCAGAAATTATTATAATTATTAATATAAAATTATTTCAGCTTAACAAATACACTGTTGAGTAACAAAAAATTTTTAGCTTTCCGCAGCTCCTCCAAAAGTCGGTAAAACACAATATTAAAAATTATTTACCTTCAATGTATAATTAGTTAATGCATCAGCTATAAAAATTAATATTTATTGATAAAATAATAAAGTTGTGGAGTAAAAAAAAAAAAAACTAATAAATGAGGATTTTTTTCACAGTTTTAGGTCCTAAAAAAATAGTAAAAATGAAAATTTTGAAAAAATCTTCTAACTTTAATCAACGACGCCAAAAATTTTAATTTTCTTCCGCTAAAAATCGTAAAATAATATATTTATAATGATCCGATTGCTTAAAAATTTTTCCACACTACTTTTATTTAATTTAATAGATTTTTATCTAAAAATTACATCAGTATGTTGCGTGAAAATAAATGGACTTTTAATAAATTTATAAAAAAAAACGGGAAATTCATTTAATTTTTATATTAATTATCGCTGGAATAATTATTAGACAGAGTAATTAAAAATGTTATTAAATTATTTATAACTTGAATTAAAAGTCCGTGAATTATTGAATCCTTTAATTTCCAGGCCATAAATATCGCTCGTTTTTTATTTATGTGTAAAAATATTTTTTTTTAAATTAAATACATGAAATTCCGAAAGTTTCATTTATTGATAAATTTTTTTATATATATCATGGTACGCCCCTTAATTTATCATCGCAGTTAATAATAATACACCCGCTTTGATAATAAAAATTTCTTCAATATAAATTTATCTATTCAAGAGATTTCCGATAGCTCTGCTGGCATTTGAGCTCTCTAGTGCAATTGCGATTCATCTATTTCATCAATTTTTTTTAGATGTGCTTTCGTATAAACTTAATCCCGGGATTTACATGGATTTATAGATTTGAGTGTGATACATAATACGGCTATTCATAGATCGATAATAAGAGTGATATGAATAGAACGCATGATGAAAATAAGATTCAATTTTAAAAAATTGTCACTAGAGTCAAATTTCTAAGAAATAATTGTATTTTTTTGCATTGTCCGGTGAAATGGTCAAAGTTACAGGAAAATTGGACTAAAGGAGATCCAAGTACCCTCCTAGTGTAAAGAATGTCAATAAAAAAATAATACGTAGAAATACTTTTGTTATGCATCTTAAATTTAATTTTTAAATTAATTAATAACATTTTTATAGCATTTAAGATCCCTTTTTTTAGTCAAAATACAAACAAATCCCCAAAAATAATTGTAATTATTCAAAATTCTCTTTCTTAAAAAATTTTTTACAGCTGTTGTTATTTTTAAACTCGGAATTGCATGATGTCCGACACAATTCCTTGTGAAAAATTTTTCCACAGATACAGCCACATGTTTCCGGGTAGATTTAATCTTTGAGACTACATAATAATGATAATGACAATAAAGGACAATTGTAAAGATTCAAAAATAATATAACAATAAATAATTTATCACAAAACGATAGCGTCAATAGATAATAGATAATGCAATAGATGTGTTTGTATTTTTTTTTTTTTTTTTTTCAAGCTCGGCTTATGAGATCGAGATTACAAATATAAATGCAAGTAAAATAATATATAAGAGAGATTTTAAAAAAAACCTCGACCCGTCCGAGTAGTCCATGCGTAGCAACACTTTTTTTAATTAAAAACTTTGAATCATAGTTTGGGGATTTTTTTAATAAATTTTAAAAATAATAATGCTATTTTAAGATCAATTATTAATAATTTAATGGATAAATGTGAAGGAAAAAATTTATAGAACCAACAAACTATCTAAAACTCGTCCAAAAACTCAATTTAAAAAAATTAAAAAATATCAAAACTAATTTATGATATATACCTGTTAAAAAAATTTTTTTATAGTCTCTTAATTATGGAAATTAATTTTTGACTTAAAATAAAAAAAAATAAACAAATTTTACTTTTAAAAATTTTTGTATTAAATATTTAACACATTTATGTGTAAATTTAACATTTATTCTGTTAAATTAATTCAAAAAAGTGTTAAATATTTATCAAAAAAATTTTTAAAAGAATATGAAATATTGAAAAATCACAAATTCAGGTCAAGATTTTTTTAATAATATTAAATTCAATTTAAAAAAACTAATTTGATCAAATCAATACGCCGAAGACAAAATTTTTTGTATTAATAAAAATAATAAATAAAAAATCTCTTTATATTATTATTTGAGAGGTAAATAAAAAAATAGTTTTAAAATCCATAGGAGGATTGAAGGATAAATAGTCGTGATACGATACAAGCTATGTTTTGATATAGATGTGCATTTATATACACATATATAACAACAATACAATGATGGAAATGCCCCGAGGAGGCGTTGCTTCTCTATCAGATCAAATTACATATACATTTTGATTTCATATCTGCGGAATATAATCAAGTGTTTTTTTCAATACAGTTTTATACTGAGCTATTTTTTTTTTATTTTAATTTATTCGCGGAATTTTTTTGAATTGAAAATAACAAGTAATATTCATTATTTTTATGTATTAAATTCACTCAGACAGATTATTTATTTAAAGTTAACGCTCGGAGGAAGGACAAATTTTTTTTTGCTATTTTTGTCTTCACCTTTTAGCGGTCATATGCGAGATTTTTGGGAAAATGTCACAACACAAATATTAATAATAACAATTGGTACTGTCTAAAATATTTATGCTTGCTTTAGAATTTATTATTGTATCATTGGATATTTTTAGCGCTGATATACTAGGAGCGAAAAAGAAAAAACGCGTCTCCTGGGCCGAATAATCCTCTTGAATGTTATCATCGAATAAAAGTTGATGGCCAAAATTACTCTGCTGGAAATTTTTTCCTCTAGGGGCTTATTTTCTTCTCTCGTTATTTCTTTTTTTTTGGATTTTCAAAAAACATTCGATCGAAAACTATTATAAATTATAAATTATAATTATTTTAGAATTAAATTAAATAATTTAAGCAATAAAACTTTCTTTGAAAATTTACCTGCTTAAAAAATAAAAATAAAAATTTCTCTGTTAAAAAATTATTCTTATAAAATATCTGACAAACATTTTTGACTAAATAAAAAATATCTGACTGTTTACTTTTTCTTTTATGTATTTATATATATTGTATACTGTGTGAATGACGGTGAGAAAATTTCAAACTATATGGTGTGAAAAGTTCAGTAAACACTTTTTTTTTTTATTGTAATATAAATATATAAAATAGTTTGTTAGAAGTTTAAATTATGGAAGAAATTTTGAAAATTTAATTTTTTTCTAAAAAAATTGATTTTTATTCAACAGAAATTTTATAAAGATTACTTTATTTTAAATTGTTGATAAATAAAATATTAAAATTACTATCTTTAATTAAATAGAATTTATTACTTTAATAAAGAAATCAAAATGTTAAAAAATCATCCTCTAAAAAATAAGGAGTTAGACAAATTGCTAATTAGACCGTCGATATGAACAATCACTCATTCGTTCTGGAATTAAATTTAGAATATAATGATATTGTTTTTTTATTTTTTTGATAAAAATTCCAACTTGTTATTAACAAAAAACACAAACAAAATAAAAAATCTCAGTTTTTCGTAAATAACTCAATAACTATAGGTGATATCGAAAATCGGAAAAAGATCCTTAAAGAGGAGGAAATTTCTAAAAAAAAAGTCTCGACTCCCGAAACTCTAGCTTGAAAAAGAATAATTTTTATTTAATGTTGAAAAGAGGGCTTTTATTAATGTTTTTTGTTAATAACAAATTGAAATTTTTAACAAAAAAATAAAAAAAAACAATATCATTGTATTCAGGATTTATAATTCCGCAACGAATGAGTGGTTGTTCATATTTTTATCACAATTTCTAAGACTTTTATCAAGTAAATTTACACAGAACTCAGAAAAATTTTCGTTACTACGTAGCATAGTAATGGTTACCATTCTACACAGGAATAATAAGATCTATTCTTTTCTCTCCGCGTATTTAAATGATGATTAATGGAATATTTTTCATTAAATCACAAACATCGCTTAGCTAAGCATCGTTACCCGGCAATTCGATGAATTTTTTTGATAATAAACTTAAAATCTCTCCTTTTTTCCCTTTTAATACTCCAATAATTCAAAAAAATTCATTTAAACTCATTGAATTCCAGTGTAATTATCAAACAAAAGCCCAAAGGACTAACAAAAGAATTGAAAGACTGGAAAAAAGTGAAAAAAAGCCAAGAAACTGAATAATATTTTTTATATGAATGCCTTTGTTCTCTTTGTCTTTTGAGCATCAATTGGAATTCTTTAAGAAGAGCAAGTCAGTTGATAATAACGGCGTCTGGATCAGACCAGAGCCAGAAAGTTGAAGCTAAGCCAGA